TCTTTTCTGTAGGGGTTATTCTTCTTCTTTCCTAATAAAGTGACTGCTTATTAGGGACTCATTTTCCAGTCAAGAAAATGGGCTACAGCAGGGATCCTGATCCAGACAACATAACAATTTGATCCACCCGCAGACTGTATATCTCCGCTTACTATTTATGTCCTGCCAGTTCTTCAGAATTTGTACGAGGTCGCTCAGGCAGTGGGACTGTAAGGGCTCGCAGCTCCCGGTCGTGGTATTACTTGGTAGCGGCTGGAGACACAAGCCTTTTAAACAGATGCAGCAAGCCTGGGAAGCTGCCAGGAACGCGGTAGTAGTATGGCTGGGAGCCTGGCAACCTCTTAATTCATGCTATTTAAAGGGCTCCTGCCCCACTGCTACCACATTGCCTAGCAGCCACCCAAGGCTGCTGTGGCTATTTAAAAGGCTTGGGTCTGTAGCCGCTGCTAGGGTAGCACCATAACTGGGAGCCGAAATTCTGTGTCTCTGGCAGCAGAACATAAATAGTAAGTGGCCAGATGCAATCCACAGGTTGGATCAAATTGTTAGGTGGGCCAGATCCAGCCCACAGGCCGTATCTTACCCAGCCCTGCAGTAGATGGTGATGTAATTTCATTAAGATGACATGTACGGCTTCTCACAGCTTACCAAAAATCATGGACTGCCCCACTCTCCCCCCCATGAAAATTATTGCCCATCCCTGGGCTACTGTCAAATGTCTCTGAACACTGAGTGGCTGGTTACACTGTTCTGACTCTACTCCTTTGTTCCAGCTCTTAAATGTTATAAAATGATGTCAAGACACATCAAACACTTCACCAGTATTATTTTTCCATAGAAACAATTACTGTGGTTGAAAATTAAGCAATTTATTCAAATGTAAATGGCATGGGAAACAGCATGGACTATTAAACTGTGGGCCATCCTATCTAAAATGTAGGTTCTCCCCCAAACTTTTGCTATAATTCATTAGCTTGTGTGTATGCACACAACCTCCCATGTATATGACAACTGAACAAGAATACAAAACCATACCATTTTTAATTTTTAAGACATTGCAGAAGTGTTTCATTTGTATTCTGCCACTACTCTACGTTTCTTTTGGCATTAAGACTTACCATGTTTCTCATTATGTGTGCGTGGTTTAGATGATATTTCCCTAGCTGTATTAGTTTGCATTTTTTTCAAGCTGCATTTCATTGTCATTTTTTTTTATCAGGTTTCTAGTCTCCTAGGACTCTTTGTATTTCTCTTCTCACTAGCATTCACCCTTTCTTTTAATTTAATGTCATAAGTAAACTTCATTAATGCACATTTATTTCATCACCTAATTCATTAAGATGTTAAAAAGTCACCTACACTTAGTATTGCTTCCCATGAAATGAACTGTATTCTTTCCCATGCTATTATGTGTAAATATTTCCCTGTTTGTGTGACATTACCCTCCCCAGATACATCAAGCTAAATCAAAGCTAGAAAGGGTTGTTGAACAATGTGGTGGGGTCACCAGTCCCGCCCCCTTAAACACCAAGGTCTGGTCCTTTAACTGTAGGCCTAGTCCTCTGAAAACAGGCCTAGCGGCCCAGTCCTTTACATATAGGCCCCACGGCCTAGTCCTTTATGGGATCCCTTGTTGTCCAGGATCTGGGAGGAAGGGGTAGAGGGGCCCGGGCCCTCCCTCTCCACCGGGCCCCAACCCAGGGCCCTATCAGTGGCGGGTGGCTCCCACCACAGGCTCAGCGAGGAGTTCTCCCTGAAACTCTCTGAACCCGCTGCGGCCTTTCCTGGTCCCCACCTTGGGTTGCTTCCTACCCCCTCGCCCTGGCTGACAGAGGTCCCACCTGTGGATGTGGGTCCAGCTACAGCAGCACCATTGGCAAGTGTGGGTTGGGAGACAGCAGGGGCCGAGGCAGCACCAGTGTCTAGGGGGGGCTGCACAGCGCAGCCGGTGTTGCAGTCTGGCTCATCCCGGAGACAACAGCGGCAGGGGCAACTGGTCCAGCACCTCTTGTTCCAGCTGCAATGGCTGTGACTCCTGTGTCTGGAGAGGAACTCCTTCCCCTCCAGCAGCCCGCCCCAACTGAGCAACCTGCAGCCTTTTATACTTGGGCTGCACTGCAAGCATGCCCAGCAGGGCTGTGGGGGAGGGGCGTATTCTACCCAATAGGTGGACTCTCCACCCCCTTGTTCAGTGCGGGGCTGGCCAGCCCCATCACAAACAACCATGCAGGAAAGGTACAATAACATAGATATGACAGCTTCTTGGGTACCCAGATTCAAAGGAGTTAAATGGACCATCAATTGGTGGGAGAATATACTCACCTGGATCCTATCAAGGCAAGGCTATTTTACTCTTTCCAGGACTAAGGCTGGGAAAAACAGAACTCAAAATGCTCACAGACCTTATCGAGTGAAGAATTTGGAGTGAGTTTAGAGTTACTGGCCAGGATGTATGTGCAAAAAGGCTGACAGTCAAATATTCCAACAGGGATAGCGCTGCAAGTACCTTAGGATGCTCTCGATCATCCCGTCTCAGAGACTGAGAATAAGCCCAGTCTTCCTGAGATGTCTGTGGATAGAGTAGTGAAGCTTAGGGATGTAAAAAAAGTTAAAATTGTTAACTGGTTAACCCCTTGCCCAGCCTCCGCCACACCAACCTGGGCAAGAGAGGAATGGAGGGGTCCTGCTGGCCTGCCAGGGGCTGGGGATGACAAGCCCCAGAGACCTACCTGCCTGCCCTGTGTGGCTGGGGTCGGGACACTGCTGGGCTGCTGGCAGGTTACAGCCTGGGCTGATACCATGCCTGGCCACGCGAGGGGCCACAGTCCCTCTGGGCCAAGGCCAGGGCTGGCATGACACCCCCATGCAGGCGGGGTCCTGCTGGCCCACGCAGGTGCAGCCTTGCCTACTAGTCCCCCATAGCGGGCTGGACTCAGCTAGGGCTGATCCAGCCTACCACAGTTGGCTGTGATACAAGTTACCTAAGAAGCATTCCAGTAAGCCTAATGCTTACTGGTAACCGGTTAAACAGTTAACCTTTCACATTCCTAGTTAAGCTTAGGTAAGGAAGTGTGTGTGCAGGTGTCTTATTTTAAAATCAGTTTCTCAGAGCACTGTGAATCCACCTGTTGGGCAAAATAAATCAGGCATTGTTTTAAATAAACTGTTTCTGTCCCACTGCAAATGTATGCTATTACAGGCTCCCATAGAGAAAAAAAACTGTGGATCTAGCGCCAATTCGACTTAGTGAATTCTCACAGTTTTAAAAGGGGTGAACTACAGAATTCCATCCAGACAGGTATGGGGCCTGATGCATTCCTTCTAACTCAAGAAGGGTATGTCTACACTACCCCGCTAGTGTAGACATACCCCGTTCCACGAGGCGTACAGATAGTTCGGAATGGCTTGCTAGCCCGAACTATCTAGCCCGTGCCGCGTGTAGCCGCGCGGCACCGGGTTCGAACAAGCCGGCATTTAAAAATGGCGCCGGCCGGCTTATGCAAATAAAGCCCAGGAAATTCAAATCCCGGGCTTCATTTGCACGTTCAGTATGCATACATTACCCCGCTAGTTCGTACTAGCGGGGTAGTGTAGACATACCCGAACAGACAGCCGCACAGTTAGCCATGACAACTTCAAAACACAGTCCTGAACGCAATCTATTACTCTATACCCTCTGTTCATGGCTTTCTGCCAGATTTCCTCCTATATCTGTGGGTATTAGGCAGATTTGAATTAATCTTGCATACAAGACTTCAATAGCAAATAGTTCATTAACATCCAAATGGTATTACACGTATTGCTTTTCCTTTACTTTTTTTTAAATTTGGTTAAAAAGTATGGAATATCCCCATCTCTTTTAAAACTCAGACTAGCACCTTGAAAAAGTCATATCATGAGACTAAAGTAAGCAGAAGAAGACCTGGATAGAGAAAAGGTCTTCATGGAGACTTTGCTTTTTACCACTGATTATAAGCATTCCTTTCCTACCTATGCAATCCTCATTTCTAACTACCACTACATAATTTTTCCCTTATGCTTTCTTTCTGGCTACTCTTTCCTCAAGTGGTATGCATTCCTGAACATACATGAATGCAATCTGTCTCCTTGCAGCACTCTCTTAGGCTGAGTCTCTCTGGCTCAAAAAAATACATCCTGAGCCTTTATGAACAGACCTTCTTAACCGCTCATGAGTTCTTTCTCTGTTCAAAAGGGTAAGGGAATGTGACCAATTTGGTTTAAGAGTCTATAATTTATCAGAGCTTTTAAGATTTTGCAAATGAGAGCCAAACTCCATTTTCTGACATCTTCTACTTTGCCTCCATCAACTACTTTTTGTGGTTATTCTGCATTTAATTGTTTACAACACTGAAAAAGAATACCAATATTTTCCCCTTTTGACATATATTTCCCTTACATTTCAAACAGATTATGGACAATATACCTTGGTTTTCTCATGTTCACTTTCATCTGTGCATCAGCATCAACCAAAATGCCCTCAGCACTCTGACAGATTTAATTCAAGGATTACTCTAGTAGCAGTAGGAAGTCAGTGTTCTCTCTCTCAAACACACACACACACACACACACACACACACACACACACACACACTCCAACAACAGTTTGATTCCTTGAGCTACAGTCTTAAAACACAATCAGTATCCAGTTCCATAAATTGTAGATTATCTTAATTTGAACATTAAAATATTAGACAAAATCGTAGAGATAGTCATGATTACATTGACGACTAGTCAAAAGCTTCAAATACATGAAGTTCTAGACTAGTTTGCTATAAAATGTCAGTCAAATCTCTAAAATTTACAAGGCAATTCAAATGAGTAGAGAACAAACACCCAAGAAAAATAAAAAAAACAAGTATTCAGGGTCTAATATAAGAAATCACCTCGTCTGTGATTCAATTAAATGTTATTTCAGTGGGTTTACTTTCACAAAAAAATCAATTTTTTAAAAAATATGAAAGTAAAACAAGCAAATATACCTTTTTTTGACTTTGCTCCAATCTTCAGCTTGGATGGCCAAGCAATTTGTGTGTTTGTTTCTTCCATAATCTGTTAAAAAAAAAAAAAAAGGTTTTAAATTCAACTTTTCTCCAATCATTCTATATTTTTGTGATGAAATCATGTAAAAAGATTAATATGTGCCCTAGTGAATATATTTATATATTATAGTTAAAGCTCATGGGGTTTTGGGGAGAGTGTGTGTGAGAGAGGTTGATCTCTTCTTATTCAAAACAGCTTGAAGGAACCAAGTCTCACATCAGTGGCCTCACGCAGCTTCCATTGGAGATAGGGTTGCCAGATGTCCGGTACTGACCCGGACAGTCCAGTATTTTCACCTCCTGTCTAGTAAAACAATTCAGAAAATACCGGAAAAATGTCCAGTATCTTTTGATTTTTTTCCCGGTCAGGAGGCCAAAATATTGCGTGATTACCTGGTTCCACAGGGGAGCTGTCTAGCCCGGAGTAGGAAGACAAGATGGTGGATGGCTGCCGGCAGCCTGTTAGCATTTCTTAAAGAGGCCATGCTGGGTTTTTTTTATTATTATTATTATCAGGGCTCGCCGAACTGCGGCAAGCCCTGCTCGCCAGTCGCACTGTCCAGCGATCTGCTCATGCGCAGATCACCCAAACTCAGCTCTTCCGGGTTACAATCTACTCGCCACAGGCGAGTAGATTGTATTATTTGTCAAACCCTGATTATTATTATTATTTGCTTAACTCTCGGGGTCCCTTTTTTTTCCCCTCTCAACAACCTTGGTCTCCTCCTTAACTCCCCCACCAGAATTTTTTCTCCGGTGGGTTTTTTTTTGTGGAGGTGGGCGGGGGGAGAGTGTTCGGTATTTTTGGTTAAACCATCTGGCAACCCTAACTAGAGACAATGGAATGAACCCACTGACTTCAGTGGGAGATGGATCAGTCTCATAGTGACAATTTCTTGGCTTTAAAAACTATTTTTTAGGAGCTACATCAATTTACTCCAGTAAATGATGAGGCTACGTACTGTTCAGCAACTGATTTGCTATTGTGCTCTCCAGATTACAATTTAATAATGATCTGTGATATTTCTTGTGTGTGTCGGGGGGACAGGAGCTGCAAACAGGAGAGTTTAAGAGGGAGAGCAAGAGATACTGCCGCTGAACAGGCTACCAGGTTAGAGTGAGAGTACTCGCTTTTGGTGTGAGTGAGTTTGCTCGACTGTTTGAATTTTGATTTCAGGTGACTGCAGTTTCAGTTTCAGCTGCTGTGGCAGGTGGGACTGAGTGCCTGACATTTGTTCCCTTGATTGCCTCTGATCAGCCTTCCCCTCTGTGACTCACGAGGGGGCAGGCCAGACCTAGGCAAGCAGGCTTTAAAAGCCAGAGGCAAAGCGACCAGGGGAGCGAGGAAGATAAAGGACTGCAGACTGGGGAGTTTAAGAGAGAGTTTCACAGAGGGAGGCCTACAACACCTGCGCCAGCACTGCTTCTGTCTCCTACACCTACGCCTGTAGCCAGACAGAGCGCCTGAGCATGGATGCCTCTACCCAAATCCTGGTGTGGTTTTGCAGGGACTGTGGCTTGCAATTTCCACTTACTGATATCCAGGCTGGGGAGACCATCCAATGCGAAAGGTGTGCAGCAGACAGTGCTCCGCCCCTGCTCCGAACTCTCCCGCCACGGTACTAGGAAACGGTTAAGCTCTTCTTGATACAGGAGATAAGGAATCACCCCCTACAACAGGAGGAGGAGAAGCCTCATGCCCCCAAGGCTGGGAGCCCTGCTGCTACCACTGCGAATAGGAAATGTAGTGTAGTGGTGGTCAGAGACTCTCTTCTGAAGGGGACGGAGGTGCCCATCTGTCGCCCTGACATTTCATCTCGGGAGGTATGCTGTCTGCCAGGGTCTCGTAGCCGAGATGTTACAGAGGCATTGTCGAGGATTATCTGGCCCTCTGACTACTACCCCACGCTACTCATCCATGTGGGCACAAATGATACTGTGAAGTGTGACACTGAGTGGATCAAGAGTGACTACAGGGCTCTGGGAGTACAGGTGGTATTCTCTTTGATCCTTCCTCTCAAACGTAGGGGCCAGGGCAAAGACAGGTGCATCCTGGAGGTGAATGCATGGCTGCGAAGCTGGTGTCTCCAGGAGGGCTTTGGCTTTCTCGACCATGGGATGCTAATTCCAGGAAGGACTGCTGGGCAGAGATGGCGTTCACCTTTCGAGCAGGGGAAGACCCTATTTGGACACAGACTGGCTAACCTAGAGAGGAGGGCTTTAAATTAGGTTCAACGGGGACAGGTGAGCAAAGCCCACAGATAAGTGGAGAACATGGAGACCTGGGAGATGTGTCGGAAATGGGAGGGAACGTGGTCTATAATGGCAGAGAGAAAGAAGGGTCAGGGCAAAACTGGGAGGCAAGATCAAATCAGTATCTTAGATGCTTATATGCAAGTGCGAGAAGTATGGGTAATAAGCAGGAAAAAATGGAAGTGCTAATAAATAAATACAACTATGACATTGTTGGCATCACAGAAACTTGGTGGGATAATACACGATAGGAATGTTGGTATGGAAGGGTACAGCTTGCTCAGAAAGGATAGACAGGGAAAAAAGGGAGGAGGTGTTGCCTTGTATATTAAAAATGTACACACTTGGACAGGAATGGAGATGGACATAGGAGATGAAAGTGTTGAGAGTCTCTGGGTTATGATAAAAGGAGTAAAGAACATGCTAGGAGACTACTACAGGCCACCTACCCAGGTAGAAGAGGTGGATGAGGTGGATGAGGCTTTTTTTAAACAACTAACAAAATCATCCAAAGCCCAAGATTTGGTGGTGATGGGGGCTTCAACTATCCAGATACATGTTGGGAAAATAACACAGCAGGGCACAGACTATCCAATAAGCTCTATGACTGCATTGGAGACAACTTTTTTTTTCTTCTCAGAAGGTTGAAAAAGCTACCGGGGGAAGCTGTTCTAGATTTGATTTTAACAAATAGGGAGGTACTGGTTGAGAATTTTAAAGTGGAAGGCAGCTTGGGTAAAAGTGATCATGAAATCATACAGTTCGCAATTCTAAGGAATGGTAGAAGGGAGAACAGCAAAATAGAGACAATGGATTTCAGGAAGGCAGACTTTGGTAAGCTCAGAGAGCTGATAGGTAAGGTCCCATGGGAATCAAAACTGAGGGGAGAAACAACTGAGGAGAGTTGGCAGTTTTTCAAAGGGACATTATTAAGGGCCCAAAAGCAAGCTATTCCGATGTGTCGGAAAGATAGAAAATATGGCAGAAGACCGCCTTGGCTTAACCATGAGATCTTGAATGATCTAAAAATAAAAAAGGAGTCATACAAAAAATGGAAAGTAGGACAAATTACAAAAGATGAATATAGGCAAACAGCACAGGAATGCAGGGGCAAGAATAGAAAGGCAAAGGCACAGAATGAGCTCAAACTACCTATGGGAATAAAGGGAAACAAGAAGACGTTTTATAAATACATTAGAAGCAAGAGGAAGACCAAGGAGAGGTTAGGCCCACTGGTCAGTGAGGAGGGAGAAACAGTAACAGGAAACTTGGAAATGGAAGAGATGCTTAATGACTTCTTTGTTTCGGTCTTCACCGAGAAGGCTGAAAGAATGCCTAACATAGTGAATGCTAGTTAGAAGGGGGTAGGTTTAGAAGATAAAATTTAAAAAGCACATGTTAAAAATCATCTAGAAAAGTTAGATGTCTGCAAGTCACTAGGGCCTGATGAAATGCATCCTAGAATACTCAAGGAGCTGACAGAGGAGGTATCTGAGCCTCTAGCTATCATCTTTGGAAAATTATGGGAGACAGGAGAGATTCCAGAAGACTGGAAAAGGGATAATATAGTGCCCATTTATAAAAAGGGAATAAGAACAACCCAGGAAACTACAGACCAGTTAGTTTAATTTCTGTGCCAGGGAAGATAATGAAGCAAGTAATTAAGGAAATCATCTGTAAACACTTGGAAAGTGGCAAGGTGATAGGTAACAGCTAGCATGTATTTGTAAAGAACAAATCATGTCAAACCAATCTGACAGCTTTCTTTGATAGGATAACGAGTCTTGTGGGTAAGGGAGAAGCGATTGATGTAGTATACCTAGACTTTAGTAAGGCATTTGATATGGTCTCTCATGATATTCTTATCAATAAACTAGGCAAATACAACTTAGATGGGGCTATTATAAGGTGGGTGCATAACTGGCTGGATAACCGTACTCAGCGAGTAGTTATTAATGGTTCCCAATCCTGCTAGAAAGGTATAACAAGTGGGGTTCCGCGGGGTCTGTTTTGGGACCGGCTCTGTTCAATATCTTCATCAACTATTTAA